TCAGTCCACTGGGCCACGCCAGCCAGGGCTGTTCCTTGTGGTGAGATACACATACCATACGACCGACCGCTGGAACCTCTTGTGAGGTGTGAGTGCAGTCACACTCCACCTCCAGCTCCCTGTCCCCACGGGACACTCCCCACCTCTCCCCTAGCTCCATACACCTCTTCTCTCTGAATTTGCCATTCTAGCTGTGTTTGGCTTAAAAAAAAACTTCCCACTGTGTCCAGTGTAGAGAAGAACACGGAAAAAGGGCCTGGTCAATTGATAGCCTCCCCATTTCGGCAAAGGTATCACCATCCATCCAGGTGTCTCAGCCGATGGGCGACCCAGAGTCACCTCAGTCCTGTCTTCACGACCCACTGCGAGCTGGGTCTGCCCCAGACACACCCATGCTGGTCCACTGGCTCCGGCCCCTGCCGTCTCTCCCCTGACCACTCTCCTACCTGGCCACTCCCTATCTGTGGCCAACAGTCCATTTGCAGCAGCTGGTGACCTGCCCATACCTGGCTTCGAGTCGTCACAGTCAAGAGTCCAGCAAGGGGAAGGACTGAGCTCGTTGGCTCTGTTCCAGGTGCTTGTGTTTCTCAGTGCAGCTCAGACACGTGAGTCGAGGTGGGACAGGCCCAGGGGGCCCTGGGGGCGGGAGTGAACAGAGAGGCCGGCCAGTACTGCTGCTTCAAACAGTGAAGGCAGCACATGCAAAGTGTTGGGGCCTCTGCTAAGCTGAAAGCCAGAAATACGGGCCAGTTTCGGGGCTCTCAAACTGTCCCCTTTGTTTTCACAGGCAGGGAAGACACCGTAAGTCACACACCTGATCTTGGCTTTCAAAACTGCTTAAACCCCCCTGAGGGTTTTCCAAATTGCCCAAATCTCCAAGACGGCCCTCAGTGCTGCTGTCTGCAGGTGAGCGGCAGGGTTCCTCCCGGTCCGGCCTGGCCCTCAGCCCCTGGGGCCCCGGGCCCCCTCCAGCAGGCCTCCTATCTCCTATCTTCACAAAACAAAGTAATTCGCTTTTAATGAGCGCCGGTGTTTTCGTTCCCAGCCCCGCTTGCGCAGATAATGTGTGTGAGGCCTTCCCGGCAGGGTCGAACCACCTCGACCTTCGTAATCAGAGAACAGAAATAAATTATGTTTGCTCATAAATGTTACCAAGCCTCCAGTGCCCAGCTGCCTCCTAATCAAGGAGCCCGTGATAATATTCTGCTTTTATCAGGCCTCTTGCTCGCAGGTGACAGAGTGCTTTATTATTCCGCCAGGCAGGTAGGGGGCCCACAGGCTGGCCTGCCCTTCCCACTGAGGCGTCCGCCAAGGGCAAGCTCTCAGGTGGTAGGTGCAAAAAACAGGGCTTCCTGCCCGTGGCCCCTTGGGGTCCCCCGAGCACCCAGAGCCTTCCCCAAGTCCTGACTGAGCAGGCACAGTGTGAGACGGGGACCCTCTCTCTGCCCACGGGGCCTGGCCAGTCTCATCTCTGGGGGAGCAGCGAGGGCCTTCTCTGCTGACTCTGTCGTGAGATCTGCTGCCGTCACGGTCACAGGCCCCCACTCCCCAGTGGCTTGTTCCTCCTCTGCATCTTTCTCAGCAGCTCAGCCAGGCAGCCGGCAACCGGAGGCCCCAGGAGGTGCGGGGATGCTCTCTCTGGGACCGTGTGGCCCCCAGTCCTGGGCAGGGAGCTGTGGGGTCCTCTGGGTCACACAGTAAACCAGCCCACCAGGGGCAAGGCCAGTTCCACAAAGCGGGGATGGCAGGGAAGGGCCCCTCCTGCCACGCTACCCGGGAGCATGGTGCAGACTCAGAGTGTGCTGGGCTGGCAGATGCCACACTCTTGGGAAGGGATGGCCCCTGCCCTCAGAGAGCTGCGTCAGCAGGAGGGCGCTCAGGCCCACACGGGCCCGGCTCCCAGCCCACCTGTTCTGTGGGATGCTCTGCTTCACAGTCTGGGAGGGCTTTCGGTGGCACGTGAGGATCCCGGGTCCCAGGCCCCAGCCCCTGTGCAGGCCTCTGCCGCCTGTTGGTCCCACAGCTGCTGAAGTGAAGCAGATGCCGTCTGCCCCATTAACTCTGATGCAGGAAACAGAGGGGGCTGGAAAACTGGGTTGTCTACCTGAGCCAAACGTGCAAGGGTGCTAATGGTTGCGGCCTGGGCCTCGCTGGCCGTCCTGTGGCGGCAAGGGAGTGTACTTTCTCCGCTAATCAAAACTCGGAGGGCAAGGATCGAATAAATCTCAAATAATCACGTTGTATTTTTGATGCGGGAAATGAGTGTGTTTTATGCCCCGAACACTTGAACTTGTGACTCTGTGCTCAGTGAACCCTGGAAAAGCGCTTACTCGGAGACCCGAGGCGACGAGCACCATTTCTGCATCTTGTCCGATGGTGCACCCCCGGGGCACCCTGCTGGGGGTCTACTCTGGGGATCAGAGGCGGAGGCTGGGCCTGGGCTGGGAGCAGTGACACCACCAGGAGACACGCCCGTGGCCCCCAGCCCTCACTGCCCCTGCTCTTGACCGGAAGGGCGGGAGCGTGCCTGGCCTGGGGGGCCTCGGGCTCGGGTTTTTGCAGACTTCCCTCTGCTTTCGTGGATGGTAATCTCCTCAGAGACACAAAACACGACCTGCAGGATCCACAAGCGTCTTTATGACGCAGGCGACACCACCAGTCCCTCAGGAAGAGGCTCCCAGCCTGCTGGGGCCTGTGCAAGGAGATGGGCGCGGAGATCTCTCCGCACCCGCCACCCCCTGCAACTGTGCACGGGGCGGGACCCTGCCTGGGGACCAGCGCCGCACTGTCCTCTGAAGGACACGGAACTCGCTGGGGGTTGTAAAGTCAGACTCAGGGCCGCCCCCTGCTGCCGACATCAGGGGCCCTCCGCCTGGGTAAGCAGGCCTTCGGTCTCTTCGGCCATGTTCCTGCTGAGGACGCTGGGCACAGGGATGGCGCGGAGTGGCTCTAGAACCGTCTGGCACAGGTGCCTCCAGGGCCGCCAGGTGTCACCAGCTGGCTCCCGGACCCAGCCTGTCTGATCCCCGAGGGTCTCACCAGACACCGCGCTTGAGACTGTACGCTGTCCCCAGGGCCTAACCACACGGTTCCCTAGGACCTTCCCAGTCTGACCGGCAAAAGCCTGGCTCCCGAAGGGAATCCCCAGTCCCTGACCAGCCAGGTTGGCCGGCCACCTTGCCCGTCTTCTCAGTGGGCAGAACTGCAGACAGGCGTGAAGGAGAGCGTGCGGTGTGGCCCCACAGTCTGCTTGCCGGGAAGATACCTGCTGTCACTCTGGGCATTTGCTGACCCCCTGGCACAGCTGCAGGAGACATCAGGGCCACACACACTTCATGGTGTGGTATTGCACGGGGTGGCCACTGGGCCTGGCCATCCACACCAGGCTGGTGTCTGAAGCTGGCAGGTTGGGTGCTCTCGGTCCCCCTGCGCCTCACAGCTAGCAGGCCAGCTGGTAAGCCGGCAGGTGGTGCGTGTCACCTAGTAGAAACAGGACCGCACAGGCCGGTGCCCGATGTCTTTTGAAACGGCCCACAGACAAGGTGACACCAGGTGCTGACAGTGTAACCAGAAACTGCCCCAGTCCTGGACACTGGGCCATGAGGGGCAGCTGCGCTGGAGGTCAGGCCCTGCTGCTGGGAGCCAGGGGCCCCTGGTAAGCACACCTGGGCAGGGTGGGGCGGGGCCGTGCCAAGGCAGGTGGGAGACCAGGCTGCCGGCCTGGCAGGGCACCCACCCCACCTGGGGTCTTCTACTGCGGACACACCCTGCACCCGCCGCAGCGAGTGAGGACGTCTCTGACGCCCACAGCGCCGCTGCCGCAGTCTCTGCGCGGCCACTTGGGTCTTCTCCGGGAAAAGCGGAAAGGAGTACAGGAAAGTACATAGAAAAAGTCCTCACCTGAGGATTTGCTTGTTGATTCTAGAGAAAGGGGAAGGGAGGGAGAGACAGACAGGCTGCCTCCTGCACACGTCCACGTCCCCATACAGGGTGGAGCCCTCGGCCCTTCCGTGCACAGGACGCCGCTGCAGCCGGCTGCGTGGCCCGGCCCAGGCAGGGAGGTGCCAGCTGCCGACACAGGGGCAGTGGCAGGACAGAAAATGCGCCCTCGGCAGCCCCAGGCAGAGCCCGATTCTGGCGGGATCGTCAGGGTGGCCTGACCCACATGTTGTCACATGTTTTCTGGTAAAATGTCCTGACCTTTGGGTGACTAACTCCCCTTCAGAAGAACAGAGGCAGGCTGGCCAGGTAGTTCCCATTGGCTGGAGCATCGTCCTGACAAGCCAAGGTTGCAGGTTCAATCCCTGGTCAGGGCACGTACAAGAATGAACCATTGATGCATCAGTAAGGGGAATAACAAATCAGTCTCTCCCCCCTTCCTCTCTCTAGAAATCATTAAATACAAATTAAAAACCCTTAACAAGAGAAGAATGACAAAGTTAACAGGTCAGCAGCCGTGACGGGCGCTGAAGGGAGCACCTCCCGCACATGCCTGTGCGGAGGCTCGCTTGCACCCGAGCGACACGTGAGCACAGCCGCCAGCGCGCTTCAGGAGCCTGCATGAGACACGTCGGGAAGTGACAGGCTGCTGTGTCCTGTGCTGCAGACACGCCTGAGCCATGGCTGCTCTCTCTCCAGGACAGACACAGTGGTGGAAACTTGACTTTGGAATGGCAGGCGGTGTCACACCTGGCCTGTCAGCTGGACGAGGCTGCGTGAACTTGGGTGTGATGGTGGCACCACCGGCATGGGAGGGCATCCTGACTCAGGGGACACAGGCGGGGGTTCAGGAGCTGAGCATCACTGTGTCTGGGCCTCCCAACGACCCCCCCGAACCTCACGTGTGCTGCTGTGTGTCTGCAGAACAGTGACAGTAACACAACAGACTGTGTTCCGTGTGCTCGCAGCTGGACACCTGCCCCTGCCCCTGCCCACCCCGTATGAACGAGAGAGCGAGCAAGCGGGGCGGTCAGCCAGGGGCCAGCCACAAAAAAAGGGGAAGAACCTTCCCTCCTTCTCCGGAAACTCTCTTCTCTGACAAAATGAAACGAGTGGGCCGTATAGGTGACTTTCTATGGAGGACAATTTTTTTAAAAACGCTTTATTTAGCTTTTAGAGAGAGGGGAACATGGATCTGTTGCTTCTTCCATGCCTGCTACTGGGGACCTGGCCCACAACACAGGCCTGTGCCCTGACTGGGAATCAAACCAGTGACCCTTCAATTTTGCAGGCCAGTGCTCAGTCCCCTGAGCCATACCAGCCAGGGTAGGACAGTTTTTAAATACACGTAACCAGCCAGGCCTGCTTCACTCAGGCCAGAGCCATCGATCTCCAGGTCTGGACTTCGCTTGGCCCAGTGAGGGGCTGGGGTCAGACGGGAGCCCCAGGGACGAAGAGAGAAGTCTAGAGCTGGCTCCTGGGGCAGGAGACCTCACTCCCCTGGGGCAGTGGGTGGGAAGGTGGCCGCCTGACAAGCTGCGGGAGGTCACAGGCCCACCTGTCCCCTCTGGATGTGCTCAAGGCCAAACTGCCAGCTCTGGGGCCAGACACACGAGGCTTTGTCTCCCAAACACACATGGCCCGCAGGGCCCTGAAGTCACCGCAGTGTTTCAAGCTGGCCCCCACCTCCCTTTCATCACCTTATCACGCCAGCTTCATTTTTCATCCTCTATCTAGCTCGCCGCAAGATAAATGGCACCGCGTGACCCCACCCCTCCTGCCAGCCCCGATGGGCAGCTCTCGGAGCAGGACACAGAGTGAGAAAAGGCAAAGCTCCCGTTCCCAGGCCCCGTCACGTCCCCAAGAAACTGGCCCACCCGGTCTCCCAGGATGCCCTGTATCCGCGTCACTCAGGTCCTGTCTGGGTCTCCCCTTGTGCTTGGTCAGGAGTTTCTTCAGAGGCCTCAGTGGACACTGCCCACACCTCCGCCTGCCCCAGGGCTGCTGGGCCTGCGCCGTGTCCCAGTCTGTTAACTCCCAGCCCAGGCGCACGCCTGTTCCAGCCCCTCGGGTAGGGCTCTGTGAGTCAAGCTGCCCCGCTCTGTGCGCACCCCCTTCCTCACCCTCCCCTCTCCACCAGGGTCCTCAGGCCCAATCCCAACCTCCGCAGGCTCCATGGAGCCGGATCCTGACCTGGACGAGGGTGCCTGGTCCTTGGAAGCTTCCCAGATGCCCCCCTGCCCCGGCCTCTTCATTTACAGGCACAGGCAAGTCACAGAGCCACCTGGCTGAGTTCTGGGTCCTACATCTCTGTCAGTGTGAACAGTCACCCACAAGTCACCTGTAAGAACACAGGAGCTTGTGCAGGGGTGACAGCCTTTCTTCTCCACAAAGGGAGCAGGGGGAGGGACATCCTGGCCCTGGCCCCTCAGGTGGCGCGGTCCTCACACCCAGTCACCAGCCAGCAGAGGCTCCTTGTGAAAACCCAGGGAGGAGGTGGAGACTCGGGCGCACTTGACCCCTCGGCCCTCTCACCGTCCAAGCCCAGAGCCCATGGGGGCCCGGCTCCAGGTTCCCCAAGTCTCCCGCACGGTCAGACTGGCCCACCAGCTCAGGCGCCCACAGACCTTGGGACACACATCAGGTTCCGGCCCCAAGCTGCCGCAGGGTCGCATTGGTGCTGTGTGTAAGTGTGTGTGGAGGGGGCCCGACTGGGGCGCTCCCTCAGGCGGGGCAGCTGCCCACGAGGCTCCAGTGGAGGGCAGAACGCTGTGGGGTTTGTGTGCGTGTGGCACACGCGGCAACTTTCTGCACCCACGGAAGGTGACGTTTACATCAGGCCTACAGTACCTGGGAGGGACGCACACTCTTGAGGGCTGAAAACTATGACACTTGTCTTGGTGGTGGCAGGTGCACCACAGGCTAAGTCTGCTGTCAACAGGCGGCACGCGCCTCACTGGGCACATGTCCTCTGAACCCCGGACGCTGCTCCCCAGCCGCAGCCCAGCACCAGCCCCTGGAAGCCCTGCAAAGGGGTTTAGGGCAGTGCTCAACAGCCCAGGGCCACTAGGTGGGTGTGAGCAGCCCACACACACAGGAGGGACGCGCCTCACCAAGTCACATGGCCTGCACACGCAAAGCACCGAGCCTGGCTGCCGCTGACAGTCCCGGACGTGAGCGTCCCCAGTACCTGAAAATCAACCGAGAAGCAGGCGCCACGTGTCACTGACGGATTCTGAACTCTGCACTGACAGGCGAGGTGAAAACCGAGCCCACATCTTTGTAATTGCCCCTAGTGGCCCGCCTCGTCTGTACACGCACACAGGAGAGGCACACATGTGCACACACCGCACTCCACCTGTCTGGTCACAGAGCCCTGTCCAGTGTCGGCCCGCGCCTCCCACATGCACACAAGTGTCTACAACACACGCAGAGCCTTGGATCAAAAAATACCCAGAATACAGCATCTGAGGTGCAGCAGGCCAGGCCGTGGCTCTCCGCGCTCCTCCAGTCAGCTGGGCCGCACGCAGGCGCCCAAGCGCCCTACATCCTCAGTGCAGTCCTGCCCTGCAGGGCCCGGGTGGTGAGCTCCGCTCTTTCCCGCAGTGTGCCGGCCTCCTCGGCACTGCGGGGCACCTGTGTGCCCTTCAGCAGGAAGTGGCTGATGAAGAGCTTCAGGCCTTCGCGCAGCACACCCAGCTTCGGGTTGTCGGACACCCTGGAAAGGAACCGTGCCGGCCGTCAGCACAGCTGTCTCGGACAGGGAGACGGAACCTGGTTTCATTTAAAGGGAGACTTCTTGAGGGGCCAGCTGACCCCCGCCTGTCAGGAGTCAGTGTCAGTTCACTACTGGACAGGCTTCCAGTGCCCACAATCCACCGGGTGAGACGCTAGCTGAGAACTACAGGGACTGAGGCTGCACAGTGACCTGCGGCCCCGACTTGCGGGAGTGAGCCCGGCCCCTGCGGCTCCTCCGCACACTGCGTCCGAACAGGCCGGCACCTACCTGGCAAAGATCACACCCAGGTCTTCAACTTCTGTTTCCATCAACAGCATGTACAACACTCTCCGTAAAAAGTGGACTCTGGGTTTGTCTAGTTCACTGAACTCGACCACCTGAAAGAGTCAGGATGCAGAGAGAAATAAAGTTGCGTTGATCGGGCTGATGCTCTCCGATAGGTCCTGGATCCACTCAGGGTGAGCCACGCTGCCCTTAAGTGAAGCCATGTCCAGGCACACGCAGTGACCATGTCTGCGGGGCCGCGGGAGCCCCTCCACACAGCTACTGGGGTGTCCGCTGCACAGCCGGGCACTTCATCTCTGGAGCTGAGCGCACTGAGGACGAGGTCCGCTCCAGTGATGGGCAGGCTTGACCCGCTCCATCCCAGGTCCGCCTTCAGGAGGCGGCCCAGCACCACCCCCCACCCTCGGCTGCATCCGCCATGCTTTCAGTCGCCGTGCGTGGCTAACTGTGGTCCAAAATAGTCAGTTTCTCTAACCTCTGACGTCACCAGGGCTCGATGACCCAGAGCAGAGGGTCCTCCTCCTGCCACACAGTCACGCAGCCCACAGCAGCCTGACGCTGCGTCACTGGCCTCACTCCCTGTCACCTCACCTCGTCACACGAGGGAGGGCGACACAGGACAGCAAGGCGCTAGAGACCACAGCCACAGGACTGCTGCTACAGCCCCCCCCACCCCCCGACATCGCTGTGCCTATTCTGCCACATGAGGAGCTGAAGCCGTGCACCTCTGGGAGAGCTGGACCCACAGGCTGACCTCAGCGCAGGCACGCGTGTGTGGGAGGAAGCACAGCGCATGGGGGTTCGGCACCGTCTGTGGCTGCAGGCGTCCACGAGGGGTCCTGGAGTGATCCCCCGCGGGTAAGGGGGTTGGCCGCCGTGTGCAGCCTGGCCCTCATCTTCAGTCCGTGGCCGAAACGGCACACCCCAGAGAGACCAAGGTCAACCCGTAAGTGGACGTGCAGAAAACCATAGTGCTGCCGGGTCTGTCAGGCAGGGAGGAGACGGCACGGGGATCCAGGCCCAACCCCCCTCGGACCCTCAGGCTCTCCCACGGTTCAAGTTTGCAGGACACGTGGCCCCACAGCCCCAGCCCAGCGGGCTGCCTGGAACCCCCTCTCCTGCACCCAGGCTTCACCGTCCAGTGCAGACCTGCACCTGGGCACCTGCCTTTCACAGGCGTGACGCCCCGTGGGAAGGGGGCCGGCGAGGCAGCGCCTGTACTGTATGTAACTTGCCCTGTGGCAGGGGAAGTGGCCGTGACCCCGTGCTCCCCTGACTCCCAGCGTGGCAGTGGCCACACAGAACCCGAAATCAGGCCCCACCCATGGGAGCCCCTGGCTCAGACCCGCTCTGCAAGCAAACCACGGCTCAGGGCCTTGACTGCACAAACACCTGTCATCGTTCTCATCGCCTTTAGTAATGTCCCTCGTCACACAAACCTTGAGGATGGAAAGGGGAAGTGATTTTGTCTTCAACAAGTGGGCCACCAGATGAACCAGATTGGAGAAATTAGTGGCTGGCAAATTCTCCAAGTCCCGAAATTTGTCCCATATGCTGAACTGAAAAGTCATCTAAGGTAAGAATGAAAAAAGAAGTTGAAATGCAGCGAACTGCTAGACTGACTCTCTGAGAACCTCATCTGAAGGGGCCCTGCGCAGCCATGAAGTCACAGTGCCCGGTGAACTGGGACTCTGAGGACCCTGCACTGCCCTCCCTGAAGTGCGGCGGCCTGCGGGGACAGGGGCACAATGCGTCCCTCATGCCTGTGGCAGCCTCAGACAAGGATGGTGTGGTGTCGGACCAGAAACACTCCACCAGCTGCAGGCAGGGACAGCCCCTCGCCTGGGACCGGACAGGTGGCTCGGAGGACATGGCATGGGCTGTCCCGGCTGCTCTCCCTGTGGCCTGATGTAGGACGCCCACCAGAGGTGGCCCAGATGACAGGACACCTGGAGAGGAAAGTGCAGCGCAGGGACCTGCTGGCATGCGGACCAGTCACCTGGAACCTCCTCTCGTAGCCGCAGAGCTTGCCGGCCAGGAAGGCGTAGAAAGGGTTGTAGCTCTTCTCCTGCAGGCAGCAGTCCACCAGCACGTGCACCACCTCCCTTTCCTGCTGGTCCTTGAGTCCAAGCCTGCAGAACACATGCGGCAGCAATGAAGAGGCCTCACCCCACCAGATCTAAACAGGTCGCCCTGGCTGGTGTGGCTCAGTGGACTGAGCACTGGCCTGCGAACCGAAAGGTCGCTGGTTCGATTCCCAGTCAGGGCACAGGCCTGGGTTGCGGGCCAGGTCCCCAGTTGGTGCGTGTGCAAGAGGCAACCAATCGATGTATTTCTCGTACATTGACGTTTCTCTTCCTTTATCCCTCCTTTCCCCTCTCTCTTAAAAAAAAAAAAAAAAAAGCCTGAACAGGTTTAAGGCAAAACCTTTCAGAGGATCACGCCGCCTTGCAGTTTGGATAAAAGGGAGCTGAGCAGAGGGGGTGGCAGTAACAAGACAGGAGCGACAGGCCCAGTCCTGTCCCCAGAGGGACACCGACCCGAGTCCTATGCTGGTGACAAAGGCCTGTGACTAGTTCCCAAGTGACAGGAAGCAGGACTGACATTTGGCTGACGGCCCTCAGGGCCAGGCCCGAGCCGGCGCTGACTGTCCACAGTGACAAGCTCCTGCCCGGTACAGGGCCGAGTTTGGGCAAGTGTCCAGTCCTGTGACATGGCCCTCTCTCTCATTCCAAATTTGAAGCAAGGAAGAAAAATGGCTGGATACATTTAGTAGCTCCTTGTAAACATCACCCAGGTACTTTTAAAAATCATATTGCAACTATTTACAGAAACCATACGAGGCAGTTCTAAATTTACTATTACAAAGACACCTTCAACCTGGAGACTTTAAGCAATTCAGAACAACCACTGAGAAATGCCAGCTGGTCCCTTAGTAGCTTTCAGGAGAACGTACTACAGCCTGGAACCACCAGTGGCCGAGGGGCAGGCCCGGCCCACGGCCTGGCCCAGACGCAGCCCCCTTGCCTAATGCCCACTCGTCTGGGTGCAGAGCTCACACAAATACTTACTTTAGAAGCTTTTCGAATGCATCCAAGAAGTCTTCACTGGTCATAATCGTACAGAAGATGTTTCTCCTGACATCAGTGTTCATCCTCTGCTTTCGGGCGAGCTCCAGCATCTTGGCACTGACCTGAGAAGAGGGACGACGGGAGCATGGGTCACTCGCCAGTGTCAGCATGCTCTGCTGCTCCGGTGTGGCTGGAGCCACTGTGGTCAGGGCTCTGACACAGCGCACGCGCTTCTGCGGCCCGACCACGCACCGTGCCAGCCAGCGGCTTCTGCAGGGCCTTCTGCTGACTGCTGTCGATCATTGGGGTCCCGCTCCAGGCGGACCCCACGATCCACCAGCGTCCGGTCTGCTGGGCGTTCAGGACGTTGTCCCAGGACACTCGCAGCTGTGTTTCTGTGCCCGAGGCAGCACCACGCACCTGATGGAAGGAAAAGGAGCAGGTGAAACGCTTGGGCCGGTCCAGGCTGTCCACCACCCCCGCCTTCTGTCCCTGACGATGGCGCCTCTGCTGAGGGCCCACCGTGACGAGCCACGGCAGTCTGGACGGTTTACCAAGGTCCTCTGCAGCTTCCTCAGCCGCTCCGCAGGCTCGGGGTCGTAGCCCGGGATCTTCCGCATGTCGTTGTTCCTCAGTGCCAGCATCGTCTCCAGCATAAACCGCACCTTAACATACAAACAGAAAGTGAACACCGTCATTTCAAACAGTCTAAACAGCCGCCCCTCCGACGTGGGGAGAAACAAGCCAGCTCAGTGCAGGCGGCCTCAGGCGGGTCTCCACTTGCCTGCCCCTGGAGTGTACGCGAGCTCCCTCATGGCCCCACAGTCTGAGCCACCCCTGCTCTCTCCCGCTGGTGACACCATCCCCACTCCTAGCCTTTTTCCTTCTTTGACTCTTAAGTAGAAAATAAAGCCAGACATACAGACTAGTAAATAGAGCTGCAAGAGCAGTACAGAGACCCCCAGACGCCTTTCCTGAGGTTTCCTCACCCACTTAAAGTGCACACGCAGTATGTTCAGGGCAGCGCAACTATCCACAAGTTTAGATGAGTTCATCATCCCCACCAAAAGCAGCTTCCAACACATTAACAGCCACGCCCATTCCCACCAACCCTGTCCCAGGCAACCACGGTGTACTTCTCATCTCTGCGGACTTGTGTTTTAAACTTGACCTCTGGGGATTCAACACCAGGTGGCTCCTCTGGGACACCCCAGCCTGGTGCCTGTGTCAGTCCAGTGTCTGAGAGTCGGCCCTGCTCGACCCCGGAGCCCCACCTCACAGGGCACAGACCATACTCTCCCCCGCCGGTGCCCCCAGGGACTGTCATTTCGGAACTTCAAGGCTGGGCCGGCCTTCCCTTATGGGCCTGTGCCCCCCCCCCCCCCCGCACATGCTGCTGCTGCCCACTGAAGGCCCGAGTGGAGAGGCTGCGCCAAACCCGCCCCCCTGTCCCTCTCCCCCACGTCTGGTCAATCCTAACTCCTACACGCACATCTACTGCAACTGGGCTAACCCTCCCCGCCACTGGCTCGGGCCCCGCAGGGGCTCGTCCTGCCAGACCACCTCCCTCCCCTGCATTGTAGCCACAGTGACCCTGAGCACCAACACTCCCAGATCATTCTGCTCAGAACCCCCCAGGTGCCTCCAGGACAGAAGCCTAGTCCTTGCAACGGCCTCCACCCTGATCCCCTGTGGGCCCCACATGGACATCCCATAGGGGTTCCCCAGTCCCCCGTCCCTCTCAATCTGCAGAACCAGAAAGGAGGCAGGAACCATGATCAGCCCCATTTTCTAGACAGGAAACCAAGGCTTAGAAGACTCAGGGCACATTGCTGTCCAGTGGCCAGAGCAGAACTCTAGGGGGGCCGACCCTGAGCCCCGAGTCACATGGCCTTTCTTAGCAAACACTCTGTGAATGGAGGAGTGTGAAAAAAATTGTTTCTTAAACCCGCAGAACACCCCAGTTCTTAGTAAAGAGCTAAAGCTCACTCATTCATCAAAGATAAAGCCATGAAATCAAAGGATAATAGACTGTGAGGAAAAGGAATGTAGTGTTTACCACACACACTCATTTCCAAGTGCTGGCCAGTGTCTGAACGTTTGGGCAAGAAGGCCACGGGCGCACCGTACCCGGGTCTGGTCCTGGAACCTGCTGCCCGCCTCGCGGGCTTTGGCCTGGGCCTCCGCGATCAGCTCCTTGAGGGCCAGGGCGTCGTCTTTCCTCAGTGCGAAGCCCACGTTTCTCAGCAGCAGCAGGACCAGCTCGACGTCTCTCTCCGTGAAAGTCCCGACGAGCCTCCTCAGCAGGTCGAGGACGAGCAGAGACTGCACCACGCGGAAGCCATACAGGTGGGCGACGATGGTGAGCAGGTTGTCGCACTCCCTGCCCTTGCAGCCTGCTCTGTACGCGCCGTCGAACCTCCGCACCACGGCCTCCAGGAAGTGAGCTCCGACCTGGACGGGACACAGACCGGCACCGTGTGTGCAACACGTGAATGCGGTTCTTAAATGGTATCACACGTCAAAACTCTCAATTTACTGAACGTCTCGGATTGAAATGTGACTCAGCATAGCGTTTAAAAGTAGAAATACGGTTCACGTCGCTCAAGTTACTCAAGTGTGTGAGTTGATTCTGACTTTGAACTTTAACACAAACCTACAGAGATCGGATTTCTGATTTTTAAGAGGCTCCAGAGCGGTGCAGCCATTGCTGCCTTGGGCTCTGACACTCTGGACTCGGTGGGCACAGCGGTAGGAGAGCTCACAGCCCCAGCCCCCACTCAGTGGGAGGTCCCTACGACCTCCCCAACATGAGTCATGCCTGGTGTCCTTTGTACCTTCAGCAAAGGGTCTGGGAGACACACACCAGCGGCTTCCAGGTCCAGGGAGGACCTGACACGCTGCAGGTGGTCAGGGGTCACAGCTCTCACTGCAGCCACATGAAGTTCCCTCTGAGCTGAAATTGCCAGATTTGGGGCCAGCTGCCCAGCTGCAGGGGGCCGTGGGCACCAGCAGAGCCCCCCCGACAGTGCCAAACTGAGCAACTCCAGGCACTGGGAGCGGCACCCGGGGCTCAGCCACACTCTGCTGCGGACAGTGCCACTTGGTGTCGTATGTGGGACAGGGAGAGCTCTTAGAGATAAAACTTTGGAAGACAGACCCCAAGCAGCTGGGGCTTGCGGAGCAGGGGAGTCCCAAAGCCCTGAGGACTCAGAGCCAGTGTCCGTCCTTTGTCCCTGTCCCCAGTCCAGGCAGAAGTCACCTGGTTACCCGGAACGAGCACGTATCCACCCAGGCTCCCAGGGATGATCCCTACTTGTGAAACTTGCTAGACCTTCTGCAGAGGCAACGATGGCAGCTGGGGACCCCAGGTGGTGGCTGGAGGACAGAATGGAGTTACCTCCACCCTCCACCTTATTTTATCCACCCGGCACCTTGTTTCCACCCGGCGGCAGTGCTGAGCTCCTTGCTCCTAGGTAAGGAACAGTTACACTGACATAGTCCTAACATTACACCCGGCCCTTTGGAGCCACCGTGAGGCTGCCGCAGCCCCTGGTAAAGAGGAGTCTGACACCCCTGCTCTAGAATGACGAAGCGTCTGGCAGACTGGGATGGCGGGACACATACTGGGCCAGGAGCCGAACACAGGCCTGTGGTCTGGGGCTGTCACGCTGCTCCCCAGGCTCTGCTGCACTTGTGCAGTGGGGCTCCGTCCAACTCTGACTCCTCCTGCCGGAGGCTGTGAGGACCTTGTGGTGAGGACACGGGGCCCCGGGCTCTACAGCCAGGCCTGCTCTTGGGAGGGGGGCACCAGAACGACCATCCCTCAGTAAGACTCCTGGAGGGACCCCGAGAAAACTGAAGGCCAGGCCATGTCGGCCCTAAGGAAGATAAACTAACTGACACCAAAGACAGGTAAGAATGGCCCAACACAAAGGCCACAGCTGACCAGCACCCAGCACCTGTGGGCTGTGGCTGAGACCATGATGCGTGCGCTGCCGCGCTCCCCAGGCCTGGCCTACCTCGATGCCCACTGTGCAGTGCAGGACGCTGACCAGGAGGACGTGCTCCATCACCAGCCGGCTGGGTGCAGGCCAGTCTGGGGCACAGGCGCTCAGGATGACCCCGGTCAGTGTGTCGCTCATGTCCTTCCGGCTGTGGCCCATGTACAGCTCCTCCAGCTGCCCACTGATGGAGGGCAGGTTGGGCTCACTCAGCCTGCACACACGCGTGAGGAGAGAGCAGCAGGGGTGCAGTTGTCAGGAATTACTTCCCATGTCTTTTAGGAACCAAAGATAAAGCCCTCTGCTCCCGACGTGCAGACCACGTTTCAGGTGCACGCTGCCCCACCAAGAGCCTTCCCCCGGCCCTGGAACCCAGCCCTCCAGCACCCTGCAGCCACGCGGCTGCTGCCTTCCCGCTGACACGCAGCCACAGCGCGGGGCACCCAGGACCCCCGTAAGACCCCTGAGGGCGCTACATGCGCTGCCCTGGCCCCATGTCCCCAGGGAACCTGCCCCACACACCAGCACATGCTGCTAGCAACAACTTCCCATTTTTCAGCTGACATGGAAATCTCGAGTTGCTAGACACTGAAAAAAGGTCACCCTGCTTCCTAGGGTGCCAGGGGCGAGGGACACACCCCGTGTTCATACAGAACATTGAAACAGCTCATCTGGTGCAATTCCAGGTGTGCCATGGAGATAGTGTTTTGTCTCCATTAAAAAGAAATATTTTAAAAAGCAATGAGGGTGTGACCTTAAGGGGTAGCAGGAGAGCTGGGGGTGCCGGGACAGTTTTGTTTTCAATTGAACTTATTGGGGTGAGACCGGTTGACAAAATGATGCAGGTTTCAGGTGCACGGCCCTTCGATGCGTCACCTGTGTGCTTGCCACGGGGTGACGCTGCAGAGCTCACACACGTTGGGGGGGGGGGCGGGCCCTGGGCTGGAGGACCTTGCTTCCGACCGGGAGGCCAACACAGGCTGTGACCTTGCCTCTGCAGGGGGACGGCCGGTGCTGTCGCTCGTCCCTGGGACTTCTCTGGACAGCCCCCAGGCACCTGTGTGGCTCTCCAGCTCTGATGAGCACCGAAAAGAACAGGTGGGCACCCCGGCTCCCCACTGGGGTCTGCCTGCATGGGGGCGGGGGCGGAAGGGAGCCGATCAGTAGCAGCAGTCCTGCCCCTCACCACCTTCCAATTCCCGGGACAGTGTCTGCGTTTTCAGAGAACAGGAACAAATGGCTCTTCTCAGTGACAGTGTGAGGACGTCGAGAGGTTACCTGTTGATCAAGCCTTGCACCTGCTTCTGGAGCCTCTGTCTCTCCTCCCTTTTCTGGGCGTCCACGACCTCCTCTGCCCTCCGCACGTGCGGGGGGATGTACTTCTCACCATTGTTACTACGATGCTGCTGAAAAGGAGAGAAACACATGACAAAAACCTACACTGAACAGATCCCACTCCCCCCTTCGCTTTTCACACTTGGGTGTTAAATTCCCAGGACCTGGCAGAAGCTGTGCCCATTGACCACAGCTGCGAACCAGTGTCAGACAGGCATCGAGCTCCGGAACAGCCCCAGTGAGCGCTCCTCAGGGTATGGGCTCACCCTCTGTGCAGACAGAAGTGCACTTCCCCGCCCTGGTTCCCTCTGCAGTTCCTCAGACCCGGCTGGACCCCTGGGGATCTGCCGGCAGCACTGACTGTCCACACTCCGCCCAGGTGTAACTTACAGGGGCACGGCGCAGCAGCACGCACACACCAAATGCACGGCCAGCTTTGCAGGCAAAGTGGTCTAAGGTAATTTCGAACTTGTCAAAAACTAGTATCTAAATTTCACGATAAAATCAAAACCAATCCACTGTTCACTCTCCTAGACTGTCAATTGAGGGAGTCGAAAATCGTGATCACGGGCCATCACACCCTGGCTCCTAAGTGGCAGCCCTTAGGAAACACCTGTGAGGATGACCCTTGCTGTCAGGGAGCTCACACTCTGGAGAAAACACACTGGCGTGCACGGACATGGCTGCTCTGTGATGACCCCGGTGCACATGGTGTCGGCCCTGCCTACCCCAGCTGGGCAGGAGAGCCAGGAGCCGCCAGAAACGAGGCTCTGCGACAGGAGCTGCAGTGCTTAGGAGCTGAGTGGAGTGCGGGTGCAAAGGCACCAGGGAGAGGGGCTGAGACAGCTCGTCCACCGGAGATGGGGATCGTCCCAGCGACACCTGACATGAGCAGATAAACAGGGAAGCCTTGCCAGTGGGAGTGACAGGGAGGCAGCCCCCCTTTTGTCTGCGGGGGTTCTGTCCCACGCCCATGAAGACACCTGAGACCGCAGACAGTGCTAACTTCAACATACAGACCTTTCCACCTGAAGGAAGCACTTTATGGCTCCTTGTTGGCAAATCCAAATTGCCAGCACCACTACGCCTATGCTTCGGGGACATTAAGTGAAATGACGGTTATTTGGACACAAGCAACACAACACTGTGACAAACCACCTGAACACTCAGACATTGGGGCTGCTAGGTGACTTGAGGGTGGGTGGCAAACAAAACCTCGATGTGCAGGACAAAGGGACAACCCTGGACTGAGCAGGACAGCATGAGGTTTCATCACACTTTTCAGGACACCTCCCAGTTCAAAGCTCATGAGTTGTTTCTTTCTGTAACTTTTCACTGAATTATCTTCGGACCACAGTGGACAGCAAGTAACCGAATGCAAAGGAAGCAAACCTGTGGATGGGGGGCGCTGGTTAAGGCAACAACAATTCCACTGGCTGCCTTCAAGGCGCTTGTGGGGTGAAGCTGGTTTAACAGGCAGGGAAGCCCAGGCAGGCCTGTTCAGGCCTGTGAATTTGATCTCCACTGTGAGACTGCTGAAGCAAGTGTTATAGATCAGTTTAGTGTTTTATGAAGACTCCTGCAGTGGTAGGAAAGGAAAAGACCTAGGTGAAGGAAGAGGGGGCGAGGGGCAAAGCAAGGGGGAGGTGGTCACAGTCTGGTTTGGAGAGCGAGGCAGGAAACCGGGAATGGGGATGTCCCTCAGGACAAGCGGTGCCAATGGCCTTTTAGTCCCTGGGATAAAAGGCCCTGAGAGGTTTTCTCCCTTAACTCTTCACGATGGGAATTTACAAACATAGAAGTAGATTAGCAGATTTCCCCACACTCAGCTCAAACACAAATTGTGCCCCTGTGTCCCACGCTCTGTCCCCATCATGATTTTGAGGGGAGTCCCAGGGGCTGAACCTGTTCCCACGATACCTGCTGTGCCGTGTCAACATCCTCCGGGGGATTTTCATGCCTGACTTCATCCTCCGCAAAGCGGACCGTCTTCGTCCCGCATTTCCCCTTCGCGCTCCCTTCTACTTTTTTTCGCTTTTCCTTCTGTACGTCCTCCTCCTGCTCCTGCTCGTCCTCTTGTTCCCCACTCCAGTCCCCGGAGTCGCTGTCGTTGTCGCTCTCATCCCCGGAGATGCTCTCCTGGTCGCTCCCATCCCTGGTGTCGCTCTCGCTCCCGGCAACACTCTCTCCCTTGCTCTCGCGGGAAGTCTGTCCGGGGTCCCCCTCCTCCTCACTGCTGCTGTCATACAAGCCACTGCCGTCCCCGGACCCCAGGGCTCCCAAAATGTAGTCGAGCCCGTCGCGGGCGAAGCTGAGAGGCACAGAGCTGGAGTCATCCTTCCTCCTGCGCTTGTTTAAGCCCAGACAGCGCTCCAGTTTCCGGATCTCTCGGTCCTCCTCTTCGTTGGCCGCAAGGAGCGCCCGTTTCCGGGCGGCGTTGGCGGCGGCCGAGGGCCGGGTGTCCCCGGGGGCGGCCCTGGCTGAAGCGGCCTTGGCCTTGGCCGGGGCGGTCTTTACCTTGGCGGTCTTTATCTTCGCTGGGGCCGGGAGAGGCGGCGGGGCCTGTGGCTGCCGTGGGGCCCGACGCGGCGGGGACGGCAGGCCGCCCTGCCCCTTAGCGCCCTCCACCTGGTGCCCGCTCGCAGTCCCGGCCCCGCCGCCCGGACCCTGCGCGGGGCCACCAGTCCTCTGCAGCCGGCGCGCCTTCTTCAGTCGTCGCTTTTCTTTTCTCAGCTCCTTGCGCTTCTTCTTGCCGCCCGGCGGCGCACTCCGCTCCGCCCGGGGCCCCTCGCGGCCGCCTGGGGGCTGGCCCTCGGAGGCCGCCTGCACGAACTCCTCCACTGCTACCTTTAGCCGCTTCAGGGTTCCGGCCCCGTCGCCCCCAGGCCCGCGCCTGCCCGGACGCTTCCCGCGACCCACGCGTCGCCGGCAGCCGCCTGGGCCCCGCGACTCCGCACTCGTGGACGCCGCCATCTTCCGGGCGCACTGGTGTTGACTTCCGGAAGAGGCGGGGCTTCCGGGCGGAGAGCGGAGCGCTGCGTGGGGCGGGCTGCGCCCCCTGCCTGCCGGAGGGTGGCAGCTCAGGGAACCGCACAGCCACCAGGTGTCTCCTACTTGCAGGAGTGCAGACGTACCTTCTCCCGAATCGTGTTTTGTCGTGTATACTGTGCACCATATTGTTGTAAATAAACCAAAGGATGACTATTACGTCCATTATCGTACTCATGGTATGTAGTGTAATCATTTAAAGCCCATGTATAATGCACATCCTTATGTTTCCCTAAAAATTTGGGCAAAAAAATGCACATTATACATGGCAAATACATAAACACCCTACAGATCAAGGCCAAGAGGCCTCTGTACCACCTGCCACAGAAGGAAGGGAGGGAAGGAAGGAACCGCGCCTGGCAGCAGGGCGTGAATATTTTCTTTTCACGTATGGGTGCATTTACCTGGGTGTGAACACACCCCAGGGGAAAGTGTGTCCTGTGGTTTCTGCATATATTCACAAGTATGTGTGGGTGAATACACTCACACTTCACACTCATTCACCCTCAGGCTTCAATGTCTCAGAGTGCTGTAATGCTTCTGATTTGTTCCTCTGTTGACAGACCAGGGTGAGGTGAATCGTTGTCGCCAAGTCCCTGCCCTCCAAATCCGTGACCTATTCCTTGCTCGGGAATAGGGCCTTTGCAGGTATAATCAGGTTCAGAGGAGGTCTTGGGCTCAGGGGGCCCTGACTGCAATGCGGGGTGCTCTTGCAAGAGAGAAATGGAACTCACCCACAGCGAGCGAGAAGGCCATGTGACCTGGGACACAGTGGTGGGGGGTGGGGAGGACCCGAGGCCAGCTGGCCACCACCAAAAGCTGGGAGAGACCTGGACCGATTCCTTTGTCCAGCTCTGGCCACACCTTGGCTTCGAGGAGCGAAAATTTCCTAGGCTGCGGTGGGAACTCTGCAGGCCCCAAAAGTTGCTTCAGTGTGGAGGGCTCCCCCGGCCGCCCGCCTGTCCACACCGCTGCCTCCGCAGTTCTTGGAGAGAAGCAACAGGGAGGAAGAGGCTCCCAGCTGCAGCCCCCAGTCTGGAAGTCAGTGGCACCCATCCCTGCCTCCCTGGGTACCTCCTATTCCCAACCTTGGCTGGTGGGCCCAAGGCTAATTTCTGCCCTCCCGCAGGGCCTGGGGCTGAGTTTGAAGGGCTGTGCAAGGAAGAGGCCCAAGCAGGCCTTGCGGAGCTGTCTTCTGCCTGTCCCCACCCCAGCACAGCATGCAAGCAGCACCCCTCCGGGGCCCCCACCCACGCCTCTGCAGGTCTCTCCTGGAGCCTATGCTTCTCCCTCATTCAATGATGTCTCTGGTGCTAACTGGGGCAGGGGAGTCCGCCGCTCTGGCTGCTGCCTCATTGAACGGGACCCCAATGAATTAAATCCACTACTCATGCTGAGGGCTCAGAAGGGGTCTGGCACCCAGTAGATGTTCAGTAAACGGCAGCACCCTCCCTCTCAGCTGGCTTCCATGAACCTTCCTCCGAGCCCTGGTTGCTGCCCAGGGCAGGGCTTTCTCTGCCCCGAAGCCGGGACCGGTCAGACTCTGTGGGGAACGGATGAGGGCAAATCTTGGGGAATATTTTTGAGCCTGCAGATCCTAATGTGGAGGCGGCCTCTGGGCGTTACTCCGGCTGCTTCTCAACTGGAGGAGCTACACACTTCCCAGCCTGCACACTGTCCCCTCCCCAGAACCACCACCCAGGACCCCCCCTCCAAGGCTTCCTGAGGCAGTCAGGGCAGTTGGTGGACAGGAAGTCCTGTTTCTCTGGCCCCCAAGAAGGGGCTGTTTGCAAACATAAAAGTCCATTAATGACTCATGGGTGGATGCATGTGGAATACAGCAAGTGGTAAGGCCAGGGTGCTGGTATGTACGCATGTGTGTGTGTGCATAAGTGTGCTTTCCTGCATGTGTCTGTCCATGAAAGAGATGGGCTGGTGATGCGTGCTGGGTGTTGTGTTTGTTCTGGGAGCACCCGGAAGTGTTGTAAGTGGAGACGTGGGTAGGAGTGGGGGGTGGGGGGCAGTGACCTCCATCGATCAGCCTTTGGAAAAGAAGGCCCGGCTGCTCGCAGGTCTGACCCAAGCGGGTCAGAACTGAGCAGCAGAGCAAAAACTGTCATATCAGACACTGGTCCCCTCAGCTTGGGGAAAAAAATGTGGGTTGGGGCTTTGCCTGATGGCTCTTTAGAAATAATAGCATGAATGATCTATTAAGAGTAATGTAATATAGAATATACAATTTAAAGTGCGACCTTGCACTCAGTGCCTCTGCCTGGCCAGGATGCTGTAACAGATGCCGCAAATTGTGGACATCCATTTCTCACTGTCTGGAGGCTGGAGGCCGAGGTCCAGGCCCTGGAAGATTCTGTGTCTGGTGCGGACCCTCATCTCTGTTCACAGCCGGCGTCTTCTTGCTGCGTCCTCACACACTGGGAGGACAAAAGCAGCTTTCCGGGGTCCCTGTTACACGGGCATTAACCCCCATTCACAATGGCTCCCCCCTCATGACACCTTCCTAAGTCCGACCCCTAACACCCCCACTATGCAGGTTAAGATTCAGCATGAGACTTTGGGGGCACAAGCGTTCAGCCCATAGCATTTAGGTTTACAAACATCTTTTCTTTTTAAAATTTTGTTTATTTTTAGAGAGAGGAAAAGGAAGGGAGAAAGAGAGGGAGAGAAACATCAGTGTGTGGTTGCCTTTCACCCCCCCCCCCTGGAACCTGACCCCCCACCCAGGCGTGTGCTCCAACTGGGAATTGAACCAGGGACCCCTGGTTTGCAGGCCAGCACTCAGTCCACTGAGCCACAACAGCCAGGGCTACAAACTTTTTTCATTTCAATGCATCAATTTACTGATTATTTAGTTTTTTTTTCTTATCCTAAACTAGCTCTGCTCATCATAATCCGCAGAGAGATGACAGTTGTCGGCGTAACTCGGAAAGGAGGCCCCTCCCTCAGCTCCCGTGCAAACTTGGCTTCGGGACACGCAGGCGGACAAGGACCTCAAAACAGCGACTTCTTCCCGACAGGGATGCATTGCTCTGGGAGGGAGGGCTTAGGGCTGTTTCGTGTCCGCCTGGTCTGTAGTCTCGTCCTGCAGCAGCCTTGCTGCTGGCCTGTTAGGGACTCGGCATTCGGGGCCCTCCCCAGACCCGACTCAGGATCCGCGTGTGACAGCCCCCCACCCCCCACTGTAAGTCGGGCACGTTGAGGACAGAGCAGCATCCCTGAGTCTGGATCAGTCCCTCTGTCCAGGGGCTTTACAGGCATAATTTATGTAACCAACCTGCTAATGGTTAGTTTTTGTTTTCTTTAAAAAACACATTTTTCCCCTATTAACGTGCGTGTGTGTGTGTGTGTGTGTGCGCGCGCGTGCGGAATCATGCCGGTGTTTTACTGGCTGGCATCCTAGAAACTGCTTAGGGAAAGTGTGTAAATGTGCTTTTTTTAGTGAACAGACAACTCCAAATTTCCGTCCCCGACCCCTCCCTGTGCCAGCTTAAACTCACACTGAGTCTTCTGTCCCCCACGCCCACCCTCCTTCGTGGACTCCTCTCAGGTATTTGTCTTTGCCCATCTGCGGGTGAAAGGTCAGCCCTCCACTGGGGGGCAGGGAGGTTGGGGCACAGGGTCACCCAACTACCTTCCTCAGCTTCCTTTGCCAGCCAGCCACCGAGCCAAGCCCGGTTCTCCCTGATGGAGAATATTCGGTCAGACCCTGGGCACTGCCCAGTCTGTTTTCTCCCATCCTTCTGACCACAGCCCCTGTGCAGCCCACCCTGGGTCCTCTCCAGCCCACACGGCAGCCGTGGGAGCGCCCACTCGAACCTGCACCTCTCCACGCCGTCCCCTGCCACAGATGTTTCTGTGGCTCCCGGTGGCTACAGAGCCAAGCACGCAACCTTGTTCGGAACACAAGTGCTCTTCACATGCGTTTCTGCCTGGGCCCCCCCAGGGACCCGGGATGTGGCGGGACAGATGCCGCTCATGCTCCCTGAGTGGTGGCCCACCCTGCTTTGCTCAGACACAGTTCCCCTGGGTCCCCAAGGCAGTGGGCCTCCCCCTAGTCACCCTCAAGCAATGGGGAGTCTGTGATCAGCCGTCTCCCCAGAGCGAGCACCAATTCGGTCCCTTCTACTTCCTGCAGTGTATTTCGGCCCCCAGGGCCCAGTTCCTGGTGCCCAGTAGGCGCTCAGGCGTTTGATGGGCAAAGAAACGAGGGAGCAGATGAGTGACCGAGATCATGTTGGGCAGAAATGAACTTCCAGCGCCACCCCTTAGTCTGCTCCTTCCAGTGTGTGATTACCTGCTGGGCAGCTCTGCCCAGAGCCATGAGGCCCAGGTGAGGCTCGGATGGCTCTCACCTGCGGCCACCTGTCTGCTGAGGCCCGGAGAAGGATATGTCCTGGGGGAGGCTCTCAACGAAGCCTGGCTGTGCGCTGAGCTTGTTACCGGCGCCTGGTGCTTGTAGTTTATTGTACGTAGATGACTAAGGAGAGGGTGCTGGGTCACAGACCTCTGCTGACGTCTCTGGCCCGGTGAAGACAAGTAAAAAAAGTCTCAGTTCCATGTTGCGATCTTCAGTATTTTTAGGTTAGGAGCCGACTGTTTATCACAGTAGGACGCTGATCTATAAATAAATGTGAAAGCGGTGATGCGTCTGAGCCTTGGCGGGCCCCGAGTTGAGGCAATGATCTGTAAATATATTTGTCTGTGTCATCGGTCCCCTTTTTATTAACGGCGTGGCTTCCGTTATGGCTATCAATCTGTTTCCCGATGACCAAAGCCCCTGCAAACCCTTCGTTCCGGGTGCCGCTCGCCCGGCAGCTCTCACGCGTCCCACCGATGCAGAGTCGGCTGTCCTGGCCCCACCTCAGCTGCATGTTGAATTTCCTGAGCCCTTCCTGTTCTCTGTCCCGAGCAGAATATTTGTCCCATA